ACACACACACACACACACACACACACACACACACACACACACACACACAAAGTATAAAAATGCACAAAAATTTATTCATATCTGAGTCTTCTTATGGTTACACATCCTTAGTTGGGGGGGGGGAATCAAAGCATAGGATTTCTGTATTTCTTTTGAGCTGTATCATTTGTAACTCATATACAGGATTGAAGTTACAAACTATTGGGAATTTACCTGTGTTAGTCATCACCCCTTCCAGGTAACTGGCATTTAATTTCAGTTTGGAACTTTCTTCCACTAATGGTATCTCAAAGAGTTTGCTCATTCTTTTTGCATAAGCAAGCACCAAAAGACTAAAAGCAATAATTTACAATACCATATTTATATAATGATTTCTTTGTTGCTTTGTATGTCCCTCCCCCACGGTATAACCCGTGATTTCACTGTATTTGATGCTGGTATAATTTGGAGAGGCAAAGGGAAAAAACAAATCATTTAAATAAGGATACAAGTGGACCCATTTCAACAATGAGATGTACAAGTCGTTATGTAGAAAACAAACTTTACAACCTTGGGGGGGGGCGGAGGGAGGAGGATGGGGCGGTGGGATGGGAGAGGGGAGGATGGGAAGGGATGGGAAAGGGAAACAAAGGAGGAGGCTAAAATGCTTGATTAGAAATGTACTCATTATCTTGTTCATGTAATTGTAATCCCTCTGTACAGTATTTTCACAATAAAAAAAGAGAGGAAAAAAAGAAATTGTTTAAATAGGGATATAGGTGGACACATTGCAATAATGAGATGTACAAAACATTATGTCGAAAAATGAAGTTTACAGCTTTGGTGCTGGGTTTTTGGGGGTAGGGAGGATGGGGAAAGGTGGGGGGAGATGGGAAGAAATGGGAAGGGAAAACAAAGGAGGAGGCAACAATGCTTGATAAGAAATGTATGGTATTTTCCCAATAAACTTATTTAAAAAATAATATATACCACATATATGGTATATATCTGCACATCAGATGGAAACCAGGAGGAGGACAGAGAGACAGAGGCAAACGGGACAACATACAACAGTGGGACCTATCAGCTGTGCGGGACATTGATCATAACAAACTAAGCAACTCAGTGGCAGTGAGGGAGGGAAAGAGGAGGAAAGAGGGAACAGCTGACACTAAGCAAAAGGAATGAAATGTATATATAACCCCATGTGGAAGAAATAACTGTACTGTCAGAGCTCAGAGAATTAACAAACTTTACAAGCCACAATAAAGATAATTTGGCCCACGAAGGTTAGAATGGTTTTGTGACTATAAGTATCACTTATTTCGTGACTATAACAATCCTGTGAAATTTATGTAATCACTTAATCACAATAAAAATTCTTATAATAAATTTTAATAGAAGAAACTTTTTGTGTAACCCATAAGAAAATGTCACAAACAGTGGCCAATTGCAACAGATATGTATGTTCTTCAGGGTCTAGATGGGGTAAGTGGAATATGAATTCCTCTGTACAACTCTGAACCAGCATTCAGTTACTTAGTAGATTCTGATGAACCTTAAGAGAAGACTTAATCTTGAGTGTTTGTTATACTGAGACATGAACACAGCTCTTTCTGGGCCCTTCTATGAGGTATGGAGTCCTGGCTGTGGCTGCCCATATGGAATGCAGGCAGGGCAAGGAGGGTCTAATACAGAGTTAATAACTTTTCCAGGATCAGACTCTGTAGAAAGATTAAAAATAGATGTTGTAATAGTCTGACTACCTAACTGAATGTAACTGGTGTTCTTGTTCATACTGTCTTATAGGAGAGAGAAATATAAAGAATGCTGCTGATAGTCTGAAGAGTTATGCTGAAGGAGTGTCATCCCATATTTATTGATTGTGAAAATGACTTTAAAATTTAGTTTTCTCCCCCATTTTTCTCTTTCATTTTGAAATGTTATTAATTAAGGAGAATTTTTTCCTCTGGTTTATTTTGTTTTGACATAAGTGATCACAAGGAACTTAATTTATTAGGCCCCCTATGAAGAACCTTATTTTTTTTATCACTTGTAGGGATTGAACTCAGGACCTGGGAGCTGATCCTGAGCTCTTTTGCCCAAGGAAAACACTCTACCACTTTCAGCCACAACACCACTTCCAATTTCTGAATGATTATTTGGAGATAAGTGTCACAAGGGGAAATTTCAGCCTGGACTGGCTTTGAACCATGTCCTCAGAACTCAGCCTCAAGAGTAGCTAGGATTACAGACATAAGCCACCAGAGTCTGTCTTATGAAGAACATCTCTAACAGTTGTTGATAACTTGCTAATCAAAAGTTAACTTTGTTTCAGTGATGTCAGATTAACTCGAATATGTATTTGATTTCTTTACCTAGATCAGATCACTGTAGTATTCGATAGAAGTCCTGAGAAACAATGGCAAATGAAGTCTGTGCACAGTATCTTTCTCTAGAATAACTACAAGAGGGCCAATGAAACTAACCCTTCACCAAGACACCCCTGGACACACATTTCAATTGAATTGGACCTCTAGTGTTTCAAGTTGCAGGGTCAAGTACACCACATCTTCCCCACAGATCCAGGCATCAGGGGAGAGGGGTCCTTCTACCCACTGCTGGAGCCAGCCTGGTATTTGTGGGTCTTTTCTCCAAACATACAAGAAATTTAAGTCACTGTCTTCACCAGAGATGCCCTTGCCCTCTGCTTTGTTCTTCTCACACTGTTGCACCCACCTGCTGATTTGCATAGTGCTCCCCAAGGATGACTGTCCAGCCCAGTTTGACATAAAGGCTCATCTTGACCTTGACTTGACTGATCAAATCTCCTGGATTTCCAGCTACAATGAGGCTCTGTTCTTGGGCTCTGGGTCTCCTAATGCTCTGGATCACTGGTAATGGCAGAGGGAGATGAGGATGGAAAAGGGGGTTGAGGGTGAGCCCTCAGGGCCACTGCTTCTTGTTTGTATTTTGTTCATGGGTTAGATGCACAGAACTTGTCCTCTAGAATGGGGCAGGTGAAGTTAATTATCTGAGAGTGATGGACATTCTAGATGGAACCAGGTTCTGAGCTTTGGTGACAACTATGACATCTGTGCAGTGGGTAGTATACATGAGATCTAGAACCTCATTTAAGCTTTTTAATAGTTGTATATGTTTTGAAATATTGAATAGTTTTAGGATAGAAGGGAAACCATGAAAAGATTTGGAATTAATATATAACCACAGAAAACATTACATACCGCATATAACCTTGTACTTTTCATTTATATTAATTTCAGGGTCCAATGGTGATATTGTAATGACTCAGACTCCACTCTCCCTGGCTGTCACCCTGGGAGAGACGGTCTCCCTCTCCTGCAGGTCAAGTCAGAGCCTCATATATAGTGATGGAGATAGCCTTCTGTATTGGTTCCTTCAGAAGCCTGGCCAGTCTGCACAGCAATTGATCTATTGGGCTACCAACCGAGAATCTGGGGTCCCAGACAGATTCAGTGGCAGTGGGTCAGGCACAGATTTCACACTGCAAATCAGCAATGTGGAGGCTGAGAATAATGGGATTTATTACTGCTTGCAAAGTAGATCTACTCCTCCGACAGTGATACAGTGCTTAACAAAAACATCTCTGTAGGGCTTGGTCCAGCTGTCCTATTTCAAAGCTTGTCTGGAGAGCAGCATAGCAAATTCTCTGAACTGAAGCAGGAATCTGAGTTTGGAGGACTTGACAGAAGATGTCATACTAGAGACCTTGTCCAAGTGGGATCTTGGATTACTTCAGCTTCCAGTGACACCCAGAACCAGAATTTATAATGTTACTGCAAAAGTCAATTTATCACTTATTGCCAAATGTGAAAGACAAAGACAAAACATCTACCAGCAGCATGCCATTGCTATAGTTTGGAGAAAATTACAGAGTCAAATCCCATGTAGAATGACTCAAGAAGCAGTAATAGCTAGGAAATGAAGAATGAGTCACAAAGCTAGGTTTAAAAGTGAGATGGATTTTTAAATAGGAATGTTACTGAATATAACCAAATAAATAGAATATGTTGGGTAAATATAAAACAACTTAATTATATGACATAGATGTTAAAAGCTTTTTGATTAATCAACTCATGATTCTGAAAATCCCATTATTATCATTTTTTAATTGTGAAAATACCATACATAGGGGTTATAATTACATGAGCAAGGTAATGAGTACATTTCTTATCAAGCATCGTTGTCTCCTCCTTTGTTTCCCCTTACCGTTCCTGCCCTCCATCTCCCCACCCCCACAATTGTTTTAAAGTTTATTTTTCGACATAAGGTCTTGTAAATCTCATTGTTGTAATTGGTCCATCCATATTCCTATTTAAACAATTTATTTTTTCCTTCCCCTCCCCAAATCATACCAACATCAAATACAGTGAAAACAGGGGTCTCCGTGGCACAGGCTCATTTTTATTTAACAAAGCTACAAATTGAAATGTGAAACTGCATAATGATATGTTCCATATCTGTTTCCTCCGGTCCTCGTCTAATGGAGGCCTTTTCTTACCTGACTCTTAGAGGTTAGAAGATTATGTTCTTCCCTTCCAAAAATCTACCATTAACTGGCAAACAAGCCCCACATGAGCAAAGGCTTCCACTGAGACTTGAGTATATATTGAATTTTCTCTCAGAAAATGCACAGACCACTCAAACATCCAAAGTAGACCTCTGCTATTTCCCTCAGCACAACCATCAACTTAGGAAAGGACCATCCTTACCAGTTTCTCGATTACATTTAAGTTCTCCTAATCTGTTTGTAACTGATAGATCTAAAATATCTCAACTTCCTCTGGTGGTAAAACATGAAATAGCCTCATAGCCACCGCTGTGTTGGGAGAAGTTCTATACTTACTGAGTCCCAAACAGACAGAAAATATTTATAAAATTATCCACTGACTATATCATGAGCTTTACTAGGGAAGCATTTGAATATCTCAAAGAACCACAAACCACACAGAGAGTTGGTTTTAGTGCCAGGGGCAGACAATACTATTGAACAAATGCTACTTCTGCCGCTGCTCCCTCTCTGCTCCTGCCAACAACACTCCATGAAGCAAGGCGATGTCAGGTGAGACATGGCTTATCCATGTGTGTCCTGATTGACCTGAAACTCTCCATATTCCTTCCTGTGTCTCCCTGAGTGATTAGGATTACACATAGGCAGTGTCTGTGGTAGGAACAGTCCTTTCATCTCAAATAGCTTATATGTGTATTTCACAGGATGTCACTATCAATGTTATACCTTACATCTTAAATAAGAATACTACTTTTAAACAGAACTTTGAAGGCATTTTAGGAAAACGAATAAACACAAAACAATCTGCCCTCGTTTACATGGCAGCTAGCCTGTGAGACATCAGTGTCACAGTGACCCTGAGATCCCTGTGTGCAGATCAGCTTCTTACTCTATGCACACAACAGATCTTTTTTAAAAATAAGTTTTTTTTATTGTGAAGATACTGTACAGAGGGTTTACAATCACATGAGCAAGGTAATGAGTACATTTCTTATCAAGCATTGTTGCCGCCTCCTTTTTTCCCCCTACCATCCCTGCCCTCCCATTTCCACAGCTACATGTCCCTCTATCCTCCCTCACAACATGCCTAAATTACAAAGTTCGTTTTTCGACATAGCGTCATGTACATCTCATGGGTTACTCTGTATCCCAATTTAAACAATTTGTTTTTTCCCTTTCGCTCCCCAAATTATACCAACATCAACTACAGTGAAAACGGTTATACCATGGGAAGGGTCATACAAAACTACAAGAAAATTACATGGTACCTTTAAAACACATTAGAAACATTGCAACGAAGAAAAAAAAACACCTGTGTCCCTATCATGGGGTTCATTTCCCTGACCTTTTCTGCTTTTCTCAGATATATACTAGTTATTGCAAATAAGGGAACCCATGGGACCTGTGTTTCTTTGGCCCTGGCTTTCTTCAACTTAATATATTCTTTTGTAAGTCTTTCCATTTCCTAACAAATGGGGCAATTTCATTATTTCTGGTGGAGGCATAGAATTCCATTTTGTATATATACCACATTTTCTTGATCCATTCATCTACTGAGGCGCATCTGGGTTTGTTCTGTATTTTAGGTATGGTAATTAATGCTGTATTAAACACATGTGCTGGTAGCTTTAGTATGGTCTACACAAGAGATTTTATGTTTATGATTCCTACGTGAGGCTCAGGGCATAACAGTCTTATTACACATATTGTGAAGTGGTTGATCTCCACTCTCATATCCACTCTTCTTTCCTCCTGAAACATAGCCATTCCTAAAATGCCTTGGTCTTAAACCTAGGTATAGGGGGACGTTGTGCACCAGGATTGGATGTGTATCAATACACAGGTCCACCTTCAAAATTCCTCTAATTAAATGCAGGTAAATAGAAAGGCATGAGTTTTACAGTTTCATCATAGCTTCCTTTGGCTTCAGAAGTGTGATATTTCAGGCCGCAGATACATCATAATCAGGGTCGAAATTGGTGAATCTCTCAAATCCAGATCCACATGCAGTTCATTTAGTGAAGGATGATGAAGAGAACTATAACTTTGGCAGGGACTTGCCCTGTGTGTGAGCTTCTGACTTTGAGTAGCAGTGTTACTTTGTGAACCTGCAGCACCTGAGACTCACAATGATGAGAGGTTGATTTGCTGTCATGACAATGCCCTGCTAGTGGCTCCCCAGATGTGACATCCTGCACTAGGGTGGACAGTGTCCCCACATGCTGGTCCTGATGTGGGAGCCTTCCTCACTGAGCTCTGCCTTCACTGTCTGTGGCAGTTTTTCCTTCCTTCCCATGCTAAGGATGTCTTCTCCATTCCTTGTGGCTTCATTGCCTTGCTCACCCTTTACTGTGTTTCCTTTCATCAAATCTGAACCTGCTGGGACCACAAGTTCTAGCCTAGTTACTAAAAAATGTTATTCTGAACTGGAAGAGACGATAACATAAGAACATGAAGGTTTATGAAGCAGAAGAGACTGACGTAGATGTGAGTTCTTGGTTTTGGCAACATCTTTTCTTTGAAGGTGGTGTTTTGTGGCTTTTGATAGGAGACAGGAATTTTACCTGAGAGATTTGGAGACTGCTAGCTCAGAAATTCATGAAGATCAACAAGCTACATATATAGCCATGTCTTTTAAATCTTTCTAACCCTGCTGCTTTTCATGTGCCCTGAGCACAGCCCACTGTCCTGAGAACTTCAGAGGCTGCTCACACCATATTCAGGAGAAGGTTCCAGTGACCAAAGAGCTTGCACATGAGGGCCCCTGCTCAGATCCCGGAGCTCCTGCTGCTCTGGCTCCCAGGTAAGAAAGAAAAATGCTGGGGATTACTCCTCTCATGTTAACAGAGTAGCTTGAGTCTTCCTGGAAGTACTTGGATAATATAATTAATCAAATGACTAGTCTTTTTAATGTTTCCAATGTCATGTGCCCATTGTGATGTCCAGTTGATCCAGTCTCCATTCCTGCCTACATCTCTGGGGAAAGAGTCACCATCACTTGCAAAGCCAGTCAGGTCATTAGCAATTATTTACATTCTTACCAGCAGAGAGCAAGGAAAGTTCCAAAGCTCCTGATCTATTTTGCACCTACTTGGCAATCTGGGGTCCCATGGAGGTTCAATGGAAGTGGATCTGGCACAGAGTTCACTCTCAGCATCAGCAGCCTGCAGCCTCAAGATTTTGCCACTTACTACTGTCAGCAGGGCAATTAGTTACCTACCTGTGTGACACCAGTCATAACAAAAATCTCCCAGGGAAGCAGAAGTGAGAGCCTGGGCTGCCCCAGATGCTTACCCTGGTGCTTCAACTGCTGACAGAACATCTCAGATGCAGCCCCTTTGTAAGGTCACTGGAAAGCATTGGGAGATAGGTTCTGGAGTCAATTGCATACCTTAACTCTCTGTCCTCCTGCTCATCCCAAGCAGCACACACCTGACACTGCCTCTTCTGTGACTTACAAAGAACACTGCTCTGTACTCATGTATGTTCCAGTCTGCCCTAAAATTCTGCAGTCAGTCAATAATGGAGCCATTCTAGATATGTCAGGGCAGGCTTTTTAAATTTTATTTTATTTTATTTTTTGTGAATACACTGTACAGAGGGGTTACAATTACATGGGCAGAATAATGTGTACATTTCTTATCAAGCATTGTAGGGCAGGCTTCTAAAAGGCAAGAAAAAATACCTTGTGAAAAACATTTTAAAAACAATTGAAGAAAAATCATTGTTAAAGTTTATTTGAAATCAATTTTACATTGCTGTGGAATAATTATATTTGAAGTACAATATGATGTAATAATAATGTAATAAACAAATAATGTAATAAACAAGTGAGTTCAGTATCTTAAACATTTCAATTCCCTGTCAGGGAATTTTTTTAAGCAAATGTATTTATTTAAATACTGATATCAACTCTCATGTTAAAACATGCAACATTTTAATCTGGTTCTCAGAAAAATAATTTATTTTTATACTGAGTTTCATATTATTGTTTTACATTGCCATGTTCTCAACTTTTGAAAGAAGAGTGGAAAAATAAGTTTTTAAATAAATTCAGAAAATATCAAGAAAAAATTAACTAAAACTTTGTATCATGTTTTGGAAGGTTTGAACATATTTTTCTTCAGGTGCTTGATCTTAGAATTGTTATTTGGAGAGCAGATATTCAAAGCACCCTTGGCTTCTGGCCTAGTTCACATAAATCCAAACTGAAGAATGGAAATAAATATATGTGAATAAATAAAATACATTTAAGACACTTGTGAAGTCATGTACTAGGTACAGCTACATAGTGACCCAATTATATGTATATTTTTTTCAGAGTAATCAGAAGTGACTCCATATATCCTACAGACATTCTGAGAGCCATAAGTTCACATTTAGTAATTAACATGCTTTCTTACACATGGAAATGTATATGGAAGGGAGGAGTTGGATTGGAGGGATGGTTCAGAATGATGAAAGACTGTTAGGTAAAGATGAATTGTGTTTATAACTTTACATGTTTAATGGACATCATTTTGTACAGCTACTGATAGATATTAAATATAGAATTTAAGACAAGAGATGTGTATGGAGTTCTCACTTGTCCACACTCTCACCTCTGTCCAAGTTCCTTGCATATTGTGGATCGATAGGATTGAGTCCCTTCCACCTTCCAATCTTATATGTGATTAGAAGATGTCCCATCTCATTCAGAATATAAACAGGAAAGCAGAGAGGGAGAGCAGTGCTGGGAAATGTATTTCCTGAAGAGACTGTGGTGATGGGAGCCCACAGCTGATGACCCAGTGAAGTCACCGCCCAACTCTCTGAATATATCCAGTAGGGCATTGCCCAAGACCAGGTACACACATGCCTCTTCCTATTAGCAACTTCTAAACATAGCAAGAGTCTCCATTCATGGAAAAGGAGATGTTTTCATGAAATATGTAAGGGGCCATTCTCAAATAGAAATATTTCTTGACAAAAGGAAGCAAACACAACTAAACATATATGTAGTAGTATTTTCTTTCCTACTCAGAATGTGTTCAGAATTCAGGATCATCAAAAGCATCCCTGAGAGCATGTAACAAATACAATATTACAAATCCAATTCACATCTACTGAGTGTTAATCTTCCTTTCAGCAAGTTTACAACTAATCTCTGTATGGATTAGGAAGTTGTATTTAGAAGAAGAAAAGTGTCATTGGTAGAGAGATGCTTTTTACTCCTCAATTAGCCTATTAAGAGCACTTCTATTTAAACCAAATTTCTCTCTATCTCACACACACACACATGTTTGCACACACACAAACATGACACACCTCTGTCAGTCCTTTAACAAAGTAGCTGACATAAACTCTGAATAAAGAAGAATTTGTTTAACTCATAATTTTAGATGCAGAACATCCCTGATGCTGTATCTTCATCTGTCTTTACTCTGAAGACTCTCTTACATATGGTACAATATGTTGTGTTCATAAAGAGAGAACCAGTTGTAATTTGAGCTGGCCAAGCTTATGGTTGTCTTCCTTTGATAGCAGGTGACTATTATGAGAACTGCCTCACTGCATGAGTGTGGAGAGCTGCGGAGCCACGACCAAAGACAGCTGCAAAAGCAACATTGTAGCTAAAATGGCGGGGCCGCATGGTGCGGCTGCGACCTAAGATGGCGTGGGCTTCCGCCTTCCGTCTTCCCCGTGACGAGTGCTCTCTGTAAAAAACAACTCCTTATATGGCTATGACTTGGCTCCTAGTTTGCTTCCGTGTTTGCAGCCCTATCAGTATATGCCACGTGGCGCTTCAGGATTGGCCATCCAGGAGGCTTATAACCGGAGCGCGGGGGCAGATGGGAAAGAGAAACGAGGAGAAACAGGAAGAAGAAGGAAGAAGCAGGCAGGAGAGTAGTAGGACAAAAGAAGCTGTAAACAAGGTCCTGAATAAACCCTCTGAAAGAAGAACCTGTTGTCGCGTCATCCTTGGGGGTCGAGGTGGTCGCGACACATGAGAGTATCTTTAATGCTTTGGTGAGCAGTGGGTATTATCTCCAATCCAATAATATAATCACTTCCCACAAGTCACCTCTTCCATTGGCCAGGTTCATCCATTGGGGCAGCAGTACAAACATCCTGCATGTGCTCTTCCTTCCTTCAGGTGAAGTAGAGACTACAATCTCTGAGAAAAATAAATAGAGACTAGTTAAATTAGATTGGGACTGGAGACATTCAGAGATTTTATGTTAATATAAGATAATCAACATTTTATATATATATATATATATATATATATATATATATATATATATATATATACCATTACACAAAGTGGTCTCACCTCAGTATGTCAATTTATAAGTACACTATATTTTGATCCTATCACACGTCCATTAATCTCCAGAGGAAACTTTAAGAAGTCTTTTGATCAATTTGCTGTACAAATACATTGTGGAAGAATGACAAGATAAAAACTTACATTGAATTCACACTTTCAAGTACAATAATTTCTCCCATTATGTTAAAAGACCATTAGGGTACTTACTATAAGAGAAAATTTTGTTATCCTTGTCAATTCTATACCCTACATCTTAATATGAAGATCCTGGCAAATAGAGATGCAAGCATCCCTAAGAGATAACTTGGTAACTATGGTATGCCTCTTCATCTAGCTCAACTCTGTGCTTTTATTGGTCAACTATTTTGAGAATCAGTGCTGCTAATGCTTGACACTGTGTCTTTCTCTAGACTAGATGAAGGAGGAATGGAGTACACAGGTACAATGTCCATTCCTTTCCTAGAGTCTCTCCTGGACATAAAGCTGCATATCATTAGGCCTCTGATGCTGTTTTAGGGTGGTGGGATGAAGTGCACCCTGTTTTTCCCTCAGTTCCAGATATTATAAGTGGAGTCCTTCTTTCCATGCTGCAGACATCATGGATTTTATTGGTTGTCAACAAGTATAGAACACATCTGCTGCTACTTTTCTCAGAAGAGCGAGCCTTACCTCCCCTTGACTCTTCTCACACTGTTGCCCCAACCTGGCTATTTGCATACTACTTCCTAAGGAGGACCTTCCTTTCTAAGTCTGAGATAAAGGCTCAGATCAGAACTTGCCTTGATTGACCTGTCAAAACTCCTCATTTCATTCCTAAAAATGATATGGGTATTTAAAAATCAATGGGGAAAAGGAAAAATAAAAAAATGCAAAATATAGGAATATATAGAATATATTGTAATTCACTTATGGAAACATGTAAGGAATAATTAGCATTCACTTTATCCATATTAGAGTAATATATGATGTATTACACAATACTATATAGCAATGTATAAGTAGAGAAATAAAAATTATATTTTAATAGGTAGTACAGATTTAACAAATATGATTAATTCACAGTTAACAAATAGGCATACTTATACATATATTGGCATATGTTTATATGGGTCAACTATAAAACATGTGCCTAAATTTATATATTTATTCTGTGCACAGGTACACATCTATATATGTATACAGATGTTTACAAATGGATGCATCTGTATGTGTATGTAGATGTGTACATATGTACATATAAATGTCCAAATGTAGCTGCATAAACATGTAGCTAAAATACACACAGAGAGATATTATCACAATTCCAATGAAACATAATATATCATTTGCAGAGACTGTCTTAAAGAAAGACATGTAAGAACACACAGCATGTAGACTTTTGAGGAAATAAGTATATATGGTTCAATACTCTTCTTTCTATACTCATATTTTCTTTGAAAGGTTCAAGGAAACAGAAAAAATTCTGATGATCTTTTATGATGGTTCTCTAGGTTGGATTGCTTGGAGATGAAAAAATATACTTCTGGACCTGGCTGTGAGAGATTCTCTAGAGAGAATTGACTAAGAGAGAAGACCCACCCTATTATACACAGCCCCTTCCAAAGGACTGAGTTTTAATCAAATGAAAGGGAAAGGAAGATGTAGCCAGCAAGTAGAACATATCCTCTGTTTCTTGGGTGCCATGTTGTGAGCTTCACTAAACTCTGCTCACATGGTAGACTGGAATTTATGATCTAAGAGTTTCAATCAAGTCCTCTGCCCAAGGAAAAGCTAAGTAACACATCTTCATAACTTAGGCCATAGCTTACTTTATAACCAATGATGGAAGACGAATTAGGCACCAGAAGCATTTGGGGTCCCCAGCACTGAATTGAGAGAAATGACTATTATTTGTAGTGA